GGTACGAGTCTCGTACCGGCAGGGATTGTAGGTGGGGGGAGTGAATAACCAGCGCTCTCTCCCACCTTTAATACCACGACTGAGGTACCCTTTTTTTACCCTCCCCGGGCGCCGCAGCAAACACTCTGCCACTATACTTCAGAAAACACTCAACTCATTCATTATGCTCTTTTTCTCTCCATTCCACCCTCCTTCCCTGCTACTTCGCTGTCTGGGTTGCATAAGTCTAATTTAGTGGTAATTGTAAAAAAACACTGTCTTAAATCTGACTGTGAGAAATGGCTGCAGTCTGTTAATTTGGCTCTATTTAATTACATTTTCCGGGAATTCTGAGAGCTGCATTTATGCTAACCTTTTACTTAGTATTAACACACAAAATCACTAACACTTTATATCTCCTCTGACTTTTAATTGCATAATCATTTTACACAGCTTACACATATATGTATATGTACAGTATAGAGTGCATCCGGAAAGTATTCACAGCGCTTCACTATCTCCACACTTTGTTATATTACGGCATCCTGTTTCTACTGATCATCCTTGAGATGTTTCTATTGGAGTCCACCTGTGGTAAATTCAGTTGATTGCACATGATTTGGAAAGGTACACTCCTGTCTATATAAGGTCCCACAGTTAATAGTGCATGTCAGAGCAAAAACCAAGCCATGAAGTCCAAGGAATTGTGTAGACCTCCGAGACAGGATTGTATCAAGGCACAGATCTAGGGAAGGGTACAGAAAAATTTCTGCAGCACTGAAGGTTCACAAAAGCATGTAGTTTCTGTTACCCTTAATGGAAGAAGTTTGAAAGAACAAGGACTCTTCCTAGAGCTGGCCTCGTGGTCAAACTGAGGAATTGGTGGAGAAGGGCCTTGCCTAGACTGGTGACCTAGAACCTGATGGTCACTCTAGTTGAGCTCCATGATCATATATGCAGATGGGAGAAGCCTACAGAAGGACAAACATCACTGCAACACCACCGATCTGGGCTTTATGGCGGTGTGGCCAAACTCAATCCTCTCCTCAGTGAAGACACCTAAAAACACACTTGGAATTTTCATAATCATCATGTTTGAAGGAAACCAGGCACTGCTCATCATCTGCAGAGAACCATCCCAAAAGTAAAGTATGCTGGTAGCAGCCTCATGGCCTATAGACAACTCTGTGAATGTCCTTGAGTGGCCCAGCCACAGCTTGGGATTTAACCTAATCAAATATTTCTGGAGAAAGCTGAAAATTTGCATCTGCCCCCATCCAACTGGACAGAGCTTGAGAGATAAAGAGGCGAGGAGAAGAATGGCAGATAATTGCCAAATGATGATGCTCAAAGCTTGTCACATCATACCCAAAAAGATTTGAGGCTGTAATTGGTGCCAAAGATGCTTCAACAAAGTATTGAGTAAAGGCTATGATAATTCCTTGGATTTCATGGCTTGGTTTGTGCTCTGACATGCACTTTTAACTGTGGGACCTTATATAGACCGGAGTGTACCTTTCCAAATCATGTCCAATCAACTGAATTTACCACAGGTGGGCTCCAGTCAAGTTGTAGAAACAGCGAACCGTGGAAACAGGATGCCATAAAATAACAAAATTATGAAAAAAAAACAAACAATGAATTTAATCAATTTTGGAATAAGGCTGTAACATAACAAAATTTGGGAAAAAGTGAAGCGCTGTGAATAGTTTCCGGATGCACTATATATATATATATATATATATATATATATGGGAGATTTGTGAGCATTATACACAGTAATAATACATT